ATCTGTATGTAAGTCGGAACGGGTGCCCAGATTCAGCCGCTGCTGAAACTGACCAGCAGCTGACTACAGGAAGCCCGAGGCAAAGTTGCTCTGTCCCGGGCTTCCTGGAATCAGCCGCTGATCAGTTTCAGCAGCAGCTGACTTGGGGACGCCTGGGGTTCTTAAGTTGAATCTGTATGTAAGTCAGAACTGGTGTCCAGATTCAGCGGCTGAATTTGGATGCCAGTTCCGACTTACATACAGATTCAACTTAAGAACATACCTACAGTCCCTATCTTGTCCCTGCCTGTACTGAAACAACTGCTTTATGTTCATGTTTTCTCTCAGTATTCAATGTGAAGGTTCTGTTTATTCCACTATCCATGCTGCAGCACCGTTCCAGTGGTCCGAAGCACACCAAATTATGCAGTATATAAACCTCTCAACCACCATCTAAGTCATTCAGTGAGAGAGAAATGTATCCATGCACAAAAGAACTGCACAAGGACTGTACACCTTTCATGCCCTACCTTGTGCTGGCCCTCTGAACAGAAATGAGTTCCCCCAGAATGAGGCAAGAGGATGTCTGAGTAAATATAACTTTAAACATTTCCAGTCCTTTGAGTGCTACACTTTGCAACTCTAACTTTAAAGCAATTCTATGACATTGCCCACCAGGTTCATATAAAGAAATTCCATCATATGGAACTGCTGTCCACACTACACGTGACTGCTCTGTTCTGCACAATATGCTCACTACATTGTGCCTATAAAGGGTGATGCAATGCCTCATGAGGGATTACCTTTAATGGAAGGGACAAGTCCCTCAGTCCAGAATACTCACCACAATACAAGCACACAAATGACTATACACAAGACAGCAAATACACCTAAGAAAACTGAATTATCACAATACAGTGCAGATTTACCAGAGATGCATGAAGGCAAATCCAGGTGCCCATTAACACACATCCTGATTGAAGGGGTTATGAGGGTGTATCCTTTACTGCACATAAATTCCACTGTGTGCTCACTCTGAATCAAATGTGTGTGTCTTTGGCCATTGGACAGAAGCAGATTTTTGGCCTCCAGCTGCTGTTTTGTAATGTTACATGGTGCTAGAGAAAAACAAATGAAAATGTTAGGGCCTGATTCTTCAGCATCCTGCACCTTGTGTAACCATTATGGTGCCCCATGCAAAGTGCCCCATGCAAAGTGACTGCAAAATGTAACCCTTCTGCTGGGTACACTCGCTGCAAGGTGTAAAATACGGATGTGTCTAGTCTACATCCCTCTGTCAGCAGAGGGATGTAAATGAAGCACTTTGAAAGTGCAAATGAAGCCAGGATTTAAATATCCCATGCTTCATTTGCATAATCATGTAATGGCACGCTTTTGAAAAAGCTCTATTTCGAAATTGAAACCGCAGTTTAGACACAGTTCTTTTGAACAGAAAGATCCTGTAAACCTCAAAAACTGACTATGACACCAGAGATTTTGCCTTAGTTGCCTGAAATGCCTTAGAACACTTCATATTGGAAATGTTTAAAAAGCTTGAGATGGGCTTTAAATTAGGGAAAAATGTTAACTGCTTAACTGAAAATACAGTGAGTGGGGATAATATCAGGATCCTTTGGCATTCTCAAGACAATAATTACTTTTAGTAATAAATCTTTAAATAAAATTGTAAAATTGTTGTATGACAAATAAATGTCACTTTGTTATTAAATGAAATCAGGGGGTCAGAGTAGAGCAGAGAAAATCTGCCTCCTAGTGTCTGTTAGCACCTAAAATCTAGTTTGTGTAATACAAATTTTGTCTGAAAGCTTTGGACTAACATTGCAGTAACCAGAGCAAGGAAGCAGCTCCTTTACATTCACAATAAATTACCCCCCTGTACAGAAAGCAAGATATCTGAGACACCCATTAGATCCAGTCTCTACCTACCTCTGCATTCTGGATAGATGATTGGATTTTCATTGCATTGCACCGTAAAAGTAGATTCAGATGAAGTAGTTACAAGTACATATCCTGGTTTGCAGCGAAACTCAAGAGAATCACCACGTTTTAGAAACACCCCTTGTAGTGTGTTCTCATTGGCTCTCTCATTCAGCACTATTGTGTGATTTTCCATTTCTTCCACTGAGATAGTACATGGCTCTAAAACAATAATAAAGAATCAGTTGTCTTGGTAATCCCCCAGGGTTAGCACGTTGAAGTAACGTATTTACACAAGTAATTAGTTTTTTTCAGTGAATCTCTAAATAACCTTCAAAGGTAAAAAGAGTATTTTTACCTAAACAAACTGGTGCCTTCGTCCATTTTCCATTGTCACAAAAAGATCTATTCTGTCCTTCCATTGCATAAAATTTTTGACATTTGAATTCTACAAAGGAGCCAGATGTGTATTCTTTTTCCAAGAAAGTAGTTATGTCTCCATTCTCAAGAATTGGTGGCCGACTACAATTTCTTCCTGTTTATAGGGGAAAAAATGACAATTTTGATAATGTTTGGCACAAATTCCTTTGCAATTTCTTCAGTCCTTTTCCAACGTTGAGGCAAACTGCTTGTGGACATTTCAGATTTTATAATGTACATGTGCATGTGGCTAAGCTATGCACAGTGGCCTAATGTTATGAGCCTCATCCTCAGACACTATAGACAGGGGACAATTGGAGGGAGGAACAGTGAGAGTTGCCCGCCTCCTCCCCAGAGTTTTGGACCTGAGGTCTGCTCACAGAGCACACCATAGCCCCACCAGCACGGTTTGTGAGTGGAATATGATAAATTGTTCCATGCTCCTCTGAGTTTCTGCCAAGGGCTGGGAGTGGGGGGGTTGTTTTTCAACTCAGGCAGGGTGATTCAAATGACAAAGGGTTGGCCATTCAATTAAGGTTTGTTAGATGATCCTGTAAGCATTTCCGGACACTCCCGTGAAAAGAAAGGAAACAGGGAGTAGAAATAACTGGTCAGTTTTCAGAATATAGAGTGGTAAAGAGCAGGGATCTCCAAAGATCTGTACTGGGACCAGTGCTCTTCAACAGATTCATGAATGACCTAGAAAAGGGGATAAACAGTGAAGTGGCAAAATCTGCAGGTGAACTTATGAAATTCAATGTTGATTATATTTTGCACATGGTAAAATATAATCCTAACTTAACATACAAAATGATGGGGTCCTCATTAGCTGTTGCCAAGAGAGAGTTCTTGCAGTCATTGTAGACAGTTCTCTGAAAACATCCACTCAATGTCATCAACAGTCAACAAACCTAAGAGACTATTGGGCATCTTTAGGAAAGGGATGTACGGTAAGACAATAAATATCATATTGCCTCTTTATAAATCTATGGAGCACCCACATCTTGAATATTGCATGCAGATCTGGATGGCCAAGGTATATTGGATTTGGAGAAGTACAGAGAAGAGCAACAGAAATGATTCTGACATAGAACAGTTTCCATAAAGGGAGAGATTAAATCCACTGGGGCTTTTCATCTTAGAAAATAAATGATTAAAGGGGGATATGACAGAAATCATTAATTATATGGAAAATTGACAAAGAAAATGTTATTTACTGCTTCATGTAACACAAAGAACAAGGGGTCACCCAATGAATCAATAAGCAACATATTTAACATAAACATAATGAAGTATTTCTTCACAGTTAACCCATGGAACTTTTTGCCAGGGATGTTGCAAAGGCTAAAACTATCACATTTATTAATAATTGGGTACGTGTGTATACATCACAGTTAGCATTTAACTACATAATCAATCTATATTTTTCTAGAGCAACCCTGCTTACATTCAGACTGAAAGCTGAACAATGACTCAGGCATGTTTAATGTTCATCTTTTCTCACAGCGTGTGGGCTCTGTTTTTTCCACTACATATTCTGCAGCTTGTCTGGAACACCCCACTCATGCAGTATATAAACTTTTCTCAGCCACCACCTAATGTGCTCCAGGAGAGAGAAATTTACCCAAGCAGAGGAGCAGCACAAAAGGCTGAGTACCATGCTAGATTAAACCTTATCTTGTAGTGGAGACATGCCCTAAGACACTAACATGCAATTCCCCAGCGGCTAGTAGGAAGGTTGAACACCAGGAATCATTCCCTGACTACTCTATGCCATCACAGACTTTGGATAACTATATCTGGGGTGCTCTAAACCATTGCTATTTTAGATGTGTAATAGAGAATCAATAAAATAAAATTGACACTTGACAGCTCTCTAGTTATTTTAAGAGCAGGTTAGATAGATGTCTATCTGGGATGGTCTCAACAGTACTGGGTCCTGCCATGAGGGCAGGGTACTGAACTTGATGACCTCTTGAGGTCCCTTCCAGACCTACTATTCTATGATTCTATGATTTATCAGATGGAGTAGCTGTGTTTCCATTGTTTTTATGTCCTGAAATGGTAAATAGTTATTATAGCTTCTGGTTCAGAAAACCCCAGGTAAAATTAGGGGTACATGTACACTGAACCATTATTCCAAGCATCTACACAGCCATTCCGTTATTTCAAGATCATTTTAAAATTACAGACAGCTTATTCTGAAATCTGTAAACCTCATTCTACAAGGAATAATACCTATTCCAAAGTAGCTATTTTGAAATAAGGCATGTGTAGACGCTCCACTGCTACTATTTCAAAATAGCCGCTCACTAGGGCCATTCTAAGTTATTCCTTCTCAGTGCCTCCTGGGGCTCTAAATCAATTCCCTACATTAAGGAAGCCTGCCTCGGACTAATTTTGAGGCTTCCCAGCAGTGTATATGTGCTATTTTGAAATAACCTATTTCGGAATAAGTATTCTAGAATAGCTTATTTAGAAATAAGTGTGCAGTGTGGACATGCTCTAGGACTCTCTTGTATTAATTCTTGCTCTCTAGCTTCCTTAGCTTTAAAAAAATAAAATAACGTAATTTTGATATACTTCCTATTTGGCAACTTTCTTGAGCACTGAATTACTCGAGGAATTCTCATCACAAACTTTTCCTTAGAAATCCTAGTAGAAGATGTAGGAGGTTCGAGTGCATGGGACTGGAATCTGAGTCTGTGCCCAGATCCATGCTCCCTAGTCCACAGATTCTTGGAGGACAATGGAAGAAGTATACCCAGAATCTGTGGCAGAGACTGAAGCAACAGGAACAGTAGCGATATCATACAAAGTTCATAGATTATCCTTTAGAAAGTTAATACCATAAATAGGAATTTGGAAATGGACCCTAATAGGTACTGATAGGAGTTTTGAATGAATATGCATTACTTCAGGGCTACTCAACATTGGAGGCCCCATGGGCCACAATGATACTCACAGCACATGCTGAGGGCCGCAACTTAAGTGTGGTTGCATATACATGCAAATATATATGCAAATAACTTCTTTCACACTGACAGGCATGAATACAAAGATTAAGGCAAGACTACACAACACACAGGCCCCATTTAAGTCAGTTCTGCAATCATTTTTGAGCAAAGGCCACTTCTAAAATTTGGAAGTGATCGCAGGCCACCCCGGAAGGGCAGAGCAACAGCAAGATCACTATCTTTATGTTATATAGCTGAACCTCAAGAGCTGAACTCATGTCTGCCTGTATGTTGAACTTTTAACCAATACTCCCGTTTTAAAAAATAATTTTAGTTTAGTTAACAAGAAATGGCCATAAGTGTTTATTTAGGGTAAGATTTGAAATATCAATGACCTCCCTTTGGGACTAGTAGAACTTTATTTGACTTTGGTGTCTGGGTGGAAGTGTAAGGCTGAGTCACTTTAAGGGCATTGAGTTGTTGGCTTCTGGGTATGTAGTAAGGTATCACAGAGATGGTTCTGTGGTAAGTAGTAGAATAACCACTAATTGTCCCATTTTTTGCAGTGCACCCTGAGTCACCTCAACTGGGTCCTCTAGGACCCCATTTATCACAGAGAGCTGACTCAGTGATCTACAGAGTAGTCAGCTCTGAGCAGGACAGCTGCAATCTGAACCCCAGATGGGTCATCCTGCAAGGGTTCATTTTTTAAAAAGAACAGGATGAAGGAACCCTTTTGCTCACCCAGGCTCTGAGGCAAGGGCTATACCTTAGGACAGATTTTGACAATCTGAGATTTATTTTTGACTTATTCTCTGAATAAGCCCAGACTCCTATAAGGGGTAGTGATTGGAGAAGTGTGAGAAGTCTCTGAAAATGCCTGGAAGAGGGAGAATAGAAGACAGGGCAAAGAGTTAAGAGAATGGTACTGTGGTCAAACCGTATAGTACAACTACACTTTGAGCTAGGAGCTCAAGGAGAAATGTTGTGTTAGCATTAAGCGAACTAACAGTCTAAAAACAGAAGCGTGAGTGGGGAGGAGTGGCTAGCCATCCCAAGTGTGTGCCCACGTGAGACTACAGGCACAGTCCTTTGGTGGCTAGTCCCTCCCACTGATCAACTCATCTGAAGAAATGGGTTTTGCCCATGATACTATATATATATATTTCTAGTCTCTAAGTTGCCATAGGACTACTCGTTTTTAAAAGCTGCTAGGTTAAGAAGTGTGATGTGTAAACTGCATATGGAGCATGTCTACACTAGGAAATAATTTTGAAATAAGTAAAATCGAAATATTTCTAGTCTCTAAGTTGCCATAGGACTACTCGTTTTTAAAAGCTGCTAGGTTAAGAAGTGTGATGTGTAAACTGCATATGGAGCATGTCTACACTAGGAAATAATTTTGAAATAAGTAAAATCGAAATAATAACTCCTGAAATATCAAAATAGCGCATCCACTTCACAAGACAGCATAAAAATAGCTCCGAATTATTTTGAAATAACACATCCACACTGACTGCAGCCTCCCTTGGACTTAGAGCCCCCAGAAGCACTCCGAGGAGGGTGCCAGGAGGGCAGACACTTCCTGTGGCTGCTGGATCAGGCAAGCTGCAATGTGTGCTTTCAGGGGCTCCTCTCTACGGCCATGTCTCACCCACCACTCCTCCACTGCTCCCCTCCTCAGGGACACAAAATGAACTCCGTGTGTTCTGGTTGCCCTTGTAGATGCCGCAGCACTGACAATATGGAACCACAGCCACTGCCAAACAGTGCTATGCTCACAGGCCTTGTGCTACACCTCATGGCACGGTTTGTCCAGACTGCCCACATGCTGCTCCAGCAGGACAATGACCAGCCCAAACCAGAGGACCCCTTTACTCAGGTCCTGGCACTACTGCTGCTGAAAATGCTCCTAAAACCCCTGGACACTGTCGAATGCCACTTCTGGTGGCTGGAGACCAGTTCAGACTGGTGGGACCACAACAGCATGCAGAGATGGGATGACGAGCAGTGGCTCCAGAACACTGTGGAAGGCCATTTTTCTGGAGCTCTGCAAGTGATTCACCCCTGCCCTCAGGTGACAGGACACCCAACTGCAACCCACCATCCCCCTGCAGAAACACATTGTCTTTGCCCCATAGAAGCTGATCACACTGGACAGCTACTGCTCCATAGGGAACCAGTTCAGCATAGGGAAATCCACAGTCGAGGCCATGCTTCTGCAGGTAGACAAGGCCATTAACAACATGCTGCTACAGAGGCTCATCACTCTAGATAATGTAGATATCACCATGGATGGCTTTGGCATTATGAGCTTCCCCAACTGCAGGGGTGGAGGCATAAATGGCATGTAAATCCCCATCCTGGCCCAACCACTGTACCTGGGACTACATAAATAGGAAGGGGATACTCCTGCATGGTGCTGCAGGCCCTGGTGGACCACAAGGGCCACTTCATGAATATCAACATCAGGTAGTCGGGGAAGGTGCACAACGCCCGCATATTCCAGAACTCGTCTGTTCCAGAAGATGATTGCCGGCACATTTTCCCCCGACTACACCATCAGGATCGGTGACATGGACATGCCCATATACATCCTGGGTGACACAGCCTCCCCTTCTTCCCCTGGCTTATGCAGCCCTACACAGTCAACCTATGCAAGGAAAACTTCAATACCAGCTCAGCAGATTCCACACAGTGGTGGCGTGTGAGTTTGGCCATTTGAAGGGGAGGTTCTGGAGTCTCCAGAAGATGAATGCCGACACATTTTCCCCCGACTACACCATCAGGATCAGTGACATGGACACTGCTGTGTGCTGTGTGCTCCACACCCTTAGCGAGAGTAAGAGGGAAACTTCTGTGTCAGAGTGGGGGGAAGAGCAGTTGGCCAGACTTTTGAGCAGCCGAACACCACTACCACATGGAAAGAACATCAAGGGACACAGTTCATCTGGGAAGCCTTGAGGGAGATTTTCAGCCAAGGCCAGCTGTAAGACTCTCCCCCAGGCCTCTCCACAATGTCTGACCTTGGAGAGCACAAGATCCCCTTCATGGTGGCAGCCTGCTGTGTGCTCCACACCCTTAGCGAGAGTAAGAGGGAAACTTCTGTGTCAGAGTGGGGGGAAGAGCAGTTGGCCAGACTTTTGAGCAGCCGAACACCACTACCACATGGAAAGAACATCAAGGGACACAGTTCATCTGGGAAGCCTTGAGGGAGATTTTCAGCCAAGGCCAGCTGTAAGACTCTCCCCCAGGCCTCTCCACAAGGAGCCCCTGCATATCCCCTCTGTTCTTTTCCTCCCCCACCTCTCCTTTCCACTGCCCTTCCTTCCTACCTTCTCCCCCTCTCCTGCAGAGCAAATAAAGAAGCCTCTCTTTCTTTGGAAAAAACCAAATGTGTTTATTTGGGGAATATACAACAACAGGGGAGGGACTGGAAAAACAATCTGGAATGTTTCCTGTGCTGCTGTGATGTGGCATGGGGCTGGCAAAAGTCTGCACATGCCACAAACCCTTTCCCTGCAGCCTATACTTCTAAAACATCTGCAGGAGAAGGGGAGCTGTGGAGATGGCAGGTGTGGCCAAAGCAGCCACAAGTGCTGCTGTGAGAGGCCTCTGGAGGCCAATTATTTTGAAATAGCAGCAGCTGAGCATCCACACTCATGGTATTTTAAAATAATTTCAAAATCAGCATTATTCCTCATGGAAAGCAGGAGTCCAGATTTCCAAATAACCAGCCTATGATGTCAAACTAACAGGCTTGGTAGTGTGGATGCTCCGATGATGCCAAACTAACAGGCTTGGTAGTGTGGATGCTCCGCTTGCTATTTCAAAATAACTCCCTAGTATAGACCAGGGCCATGAATAACTAAGGAAGGATTCAATCTGGGTGCCTCTTTGCTCCTGTAAACTAATGAAAGATTATCTGAATGGCAATAATTAAATGCATAACCTATAATTGCCCATCTAACAAGATGGAAGCCTCAGAATTGTAAATGGAGAAACATGCTAGCTTAAAGCATAGGTCTTTACTTCAAATATAGGAAATCCACACATAGAATCATAGAAACCAGGGCTGGAAGAGACCTCAGGAGGTCATCAAGTCCAGCTTCCTGCTCACAGCAGGACCAACCCAACTAAATCAAACCATCCAGAGCTTTGTCAAGCCAGGACTTAAAAACTTCTAGGGATGGAGAGTCTCCCTTTGGGGCTATACCTATCTCATAGAGCTAGAAAGGACCTTGAGAAGTCATCAAGTCTAGTGCCCTCCTAGCAGGACCAAGTACCAGCCCTGTTAAATTTGCCCCATATCCCTAAATGGCCCCTTCAGGGATTGAACTCACAACCTTGGGTTTAGCAAACCAATGCTCAAATCACTGAACTATCCCTCCCCTAAGTAACCCACCTTACTGCTTCACCACCCTCCTAGTGAAATAGTTTTTCCTAATCTCCAACCTACACGTCTCCCACTGTAACTTGAGACCATTGATCCTTATCCTGCCATCCGCCACTACTAAGAACAGCTTCTGTCCGTCCTTTTTGGAACCTCCCTTCAGGAAGATGAAGACTGCTATCAAATCCCCCCTGCCTCACTCTTCTCTTCTGCAGACTAAACAAACGGGCTACGTCTAGATTGGCTTGATTTTCCACAAATGCTTTTAACGGAAAAGTTTTCCATTAAAAGCATTTGCGGAAAAGAGCATCTAGATTGGCATGGACACTTTCCCACAAAAGCACTGTTTGCGGAAAAGCGTCTGTGCCAATCTAGATGCGTTTTTGAACAAAAAAGTCCCGATCGCGAAAATGGTGCAAAACAAATCTGAGCTGTCTACACTGGCCCTTTTGCACAAAAGCTTTGTGCAAAAGGACTTTTGCCCAAACAGGAGCAGCATAGTATTTCCTCAAGAAGCACTGATTTCAGATAGTAGGAAGTCAGTGTTCTTGCGGAAATTCAAGTGGCCAGTGTAGACAGCTAGCAAGTTTTTCTGCAAAAGCAGGAAAAACTTGCCAGTCTAGATGCAGCCACCCAGATCCCTGAGTCTCTCCTCATAGGTCATGTGCTCCATGGAGACTCCACCACTTCCCTTGTTGGTTTGCTCAGTTTTGTTCCTTGTTTCTAATTGGAATTTGTCTGACTTGTTTCCTGCCATTGGTTCTTCCTATGCCTTTCTCTGCTACATTAAAAAGTTCCCTTTAACAGCTGATATTTTCTCCCCATGAAGGTAAAATGATGTAATCAAGTTACACCTTGTTCTTCTTTTTGTTAAACTAAGCTGAATAAACTCTTCTATTCTCTCCCTGAAAGGCATTTTTTCAAGTCCCCAAGTAACTTCTTTGTCTCCTTTCTTCTTCCTCTCACCAGAACTGGATGCAGTAATTTCAGCTGTGGCCTCACTAATGCCTTATGAAGAGGTAAAAATCACCTCCATACTTCTACTCACTACTCCTCTGTTCACAGGCGTGTGCACGGAGTATGCCGGTTGTGCCCAGACACACCCTAATGTCTTGGGCCGGCTAGCGGCTGCTGGAGGAGGACAGGGATTTGTGACGTGGTGCCGCAGACCCTCACTTTAAATTCCCCGTGGCCATCAACAGGGCACTGTGGGGCAGAGAGAGTGCATGCGCAATGTGCTCAAATGCCGCACAAGAAGTGGGAGGGGAGATGCCCAGTCGTGACGTGACGTCACGGCCCGGGACTTTCAAACCGCGCGGCCCAGCTCCAGAAGCAGTTGGTGCCTGACTACAAACGCTGGCCAGCCAGCCAGTCCGAGCCATTTCTGTGCCCCAGGCTCAGCAGCACCACCCTTTGAGCAAGACATGGGAAGTCATTCTTCCACTCAACTCTGATCAGGCCTCAGTTGGAGTATTGTGTCCAGTTCTGAGCGCCACATTTCAAGAAAGATGTGGTGAAATTGGAGAAGGTCCAGAGAAGAGCAACAAAAATTATTAAAGGTAAAACATGACCCAGGAGGGAAGACTAAAATAATTGGGCTTGTTTAGTTTAGAAAAGAGAAGACTGAGATAGGACATGATAGCCGTTTTCAAGTATCTAAAACAATGTTACAAGGAGGAAGGAGAAAAATGGGTCTCCTTGGCCTCTGAGGATAGGACAAGAAGCAATGGGCTTATACTGCAGCAAGGGAGGTTTAGACTGGACATTAGGAAAAACTTCCTACCTGTCAGGGTGGTTAAACACTGGAATAAATTGCCTACGGAGGTTGTGGAATCTTCATCACTGGAGATATTTAAGAGCAGGTTGGATAGACATGTATCAGGGATGGTCTAGATAGTGCTTGGTCCTGCTGTAAGGGCAGGGGACTAGACTTGACCTCTTGAGGTCCCTTCTAGTTCTAGTTTTCTATTATTCTAAGTAATAGAATATGTAGTATAAAATTAATAAGCACTGACCTTCACAAAATGGTTTTGGATGTCATCCAGAGTTACTACACTATGCATCAGATCTTTCACTGAATGTATATCCTGCATTACAGGTAAACTGCAATCGTTTATTCTCCCTATAAACTGCCTTTGGCATCTTTAAGTTTCCATTAATAATTTTGTTGGTAGTTGTCAGGTTATCCTTAAGGATAATAGAAACAAAATTCATGAACAGCCCAGAAGAATACATTCATCAGAAAATAATCACAAAATTTAAATTTTGAAATGACCATTTTAGAATTATGTTCACAAGGAACAATCATTCTGAGTTCCAGCGTGGAATTTCTATCACAAGTTTCCATAAGAACTGTTACTCTGATTGATTGTGTGGAGAGAACCTTAAGGGAGGGCCTTGTCTACACATGGAAATTAATTCAGAGTAAGAAAGAGTATGAATTTAAAGTGGATTAACTATTCTGACATGAAAAGCAGCTCATATATAGTCTGCAATCAGGTGTGTTCACATAAAATACATGGTCTCAATGAATGGAACAAAGATGCAACCGGAGTGCCTGGCCAGAAGCAGTATTTTAAGTACTGAAGAACAGGGGGAGAGGGATAGCTCAGTGTTTTGAGCATTAGCCTGCTAAACCCAGGGTTGTGAGTTTAATCCTTGCAGTAGGCCATCTGGGACAGAAATTCATCAGGG